TCTTGCATATAGTAATCGCACATGGCCCTGTAATACTACTAGTAAATGGCATTTTTGTCTTCTAAGTAAAGTATGTCAGGAGTATGATTTTTTTTTGATTCTTTTGCACAGTGAACGTTGGTATTATTTTAAAGGCTTTTGCAATGATTTTTTATTTTTTTATTAGTGAAATGTTGTATTCTTAAAAACCTTAAAAAGTACTTTAAACTATATAAATAATATGCGAACTCAATTGAAATTGATCGGCAAAATTAGCCAATCAGACAAACTTCTGCCTATGAGGTTGGGGCAGTGTTGGAAATTGAGTGCGAGGGTTTTGTGTTACATATTGAATTTAGCCAATCAAATTTGTTCTTCTGGTAGAAATTTTAACGTTGATTGGCTAAATTCAATATGTAACACAAACCCCTGCACTCAGTTTCCAACACTGGTTGGGGGTGGCAGGGAATTACCAACTCTAAGAATTAATTTTTATTTGTCATGTAAGTTCTGTATATTTTATAAAAGAATCTTTCTGTATATAATATTATCCTTTTTAAAAAGAAATGATTTTTATTGTAAATAAAAAATTAAATTTATGAAAATTTTATAATAGTTATTTTACCTTAACTAAATATGGCAATGGTAATTTTGTTTGTAACCGGTTAACCAGTTAAAAAATTAACAGTTTAATGGTTCATTTAACTGGTTAACTGGAGGTTTTAATGGTTAGTTAACTGGTTAAAGAATTTTTAAATGGTGCCAATCTCTAAGTTATACATTTGAAAGTTATACTTTTAACCCTAGCAAATTCAAGGTGTTTAATTGATGATCTGTAAAGTATCCAGAATTATGCATTAATCACACATTAACCATTTTTTTGCATAATTCAGTAAGAATGTATATTCAATGATTACTGAAAAGAAAATGATATGTGTTGGCACTTTTATTGCTTTACAGTCATACTGTAAATTGTGAAAAAAGTTTGTTGATAATCATATAAAGCTGAACAAAGACATCAAAGTAATTCACAACCAAATCAATGATCATGAAAAAATCAACATTGCAATTTACAAAGCCTGATATTTCTAGAAAAAATTGACAAATTAAAACCTTTTTAATTTATATTGTAGGAATTGTATGAAAGAGTTTTTGCATAAAAAAAGTCAGTCTGAAATATTTATTTATTTAATTATCATTTTGTTTTATTGTAGGTACAAATTAACATTTAGAAAAATATTTGCCAAAACAAATATATTGCCAATAATGTATCTGGTGGCGATGTAGAGGAAGTCCCTTTCAAATTATAAAAATATCTTAATGTTAGTTTTGGCCAAAAATTATGATCACATAAAAACAATTTGCATACTCCTGGATGTCTATTTATTGTTCATTTTAATATATCGATATTAATATTATATAGGAAATGGGGTTCTTCATGATTCTTTGAAGTTAAAATTATATGAGGATTATCATCAAAAATCAGCATTGGAGTTTTATTATATGACATTTATAATTTGGAGTTGTGATGTCATTAATCTCAACAGGTTAGAATCAAACAATACAGCAACTATTATACTCACAAGGTATAAAATAAATATAACATAATATATATATATATCCCAAATGCTATTTACACTGGTAGGTTTTTGAATCCCATGATCTGTTAATTCTAATAAAGTTACAATTATTGGTAATTATAATAGTAACTATTTTATTTTTACAAATAAATGACTTTCATTGTCAAACTCTGTTAGTATTTACTCTTTGAGTTATTATTATTTACATTAGTGATGATGAAATAATCAAGAAAGCAACAAGCTACAGTGTGCCACAAAGATAAATTACAAGAAATAAAGTCTCACTTTCTATCCAAGGTCTTGAGGCTTTTAACATGTATTCCATTGTAGCTGCTAAATGAAACATAATGATCAAGGCTTTTTTGTATATACTCTCTCCTCCATGCTCTTTCTTAAAAAACAGAAAGAAGAAAGCATAGTGAAATTGGGGGAAAAAAAATTTCATTTTTGGTTTTTGGAAGAAATGAAAGATTAATAAAAAAATTATATATTTGATGAAACAGATAAACTTCCATTGATCCTTCCAACAATTCACCCAAATGTCACTTACCACAATCTATCAATTCTAATAAAATTACAATTACAATATATTTTTTTTTATTTTTGTATTTACAGATTGATTTTTAATGAGAAAATTATACAAGTGTTTATTTGTTTTATTGGTAAAACGAAAAGTTATATTCCCATTCTTATAAATGTCATTTTTCTTTTAAATAATAAAGTTATAAACTCTAATATATGTATATTTATTTAAATTACAAATAACAAAAGTTCTTAGATAAAATATAACGATAATTGTAAATACTTTGAGGCCATTGGCAGCTACCATAAGATCAGTCAAAGGTATTAAATATTTATGCATTACTTTATTATCTACAAGGTTTATAAAATATTCGTAAGGTTTAAGTTGATCGGTGAAATTAGGGAGCATTTTCAGACAAAGGAATACTTTCATTGATTCATGATTTCTATTACCACATATAGTAAGTATTCTATTTTTTCTTGCATTAGTATTATATAATTTTGATCTACGTCTCTTTAATTAAGAATGGCAAATCGAAATTCCGATCAAAGTATACTTCCAATAAGATATCTTTAGCAGAATATCAATAATAACAATGACAACAATAGTAATAATTTTGATGATGATAAATAAAATGAGTATTGGACAAAATGTACAAGTAATGGATATTATATATATATATATGTATATCGATTGGCTTATTTATATATTAACCAATGATGGTTTTTCTTTTAAATTTTGCATGGCTTAATTCAAATTTTTATATTTAAATGTTTATCATCAATTGTCTTCTTGCATAATGATATGAATTATTATTCCTTGGCGAGGGAAACCTAACCACTCTGGGATGTCCAAATTCACTATCTTCAAAATTAAGGTATCCTGCGCCTTCAAGTCCATCAACACAAAATTAAATTAATAATATAACAGAAAATGGAAATGTTCCTATGCGATGCAATTACATAATAATAATAATAATTTGAGCACGAGGAGTCGAATAAGACATATATAGTAAATACGTATTAGTTAGGAGAGAATATTATTGGTGTGCATTTTTTAGTTTGATGGCTTTGATCGAATTATATAATAATGTATAATGTAAACTACTATTTTTTATTTGCATCAATGTAACATTTAAAAATTCATGTCGTGACCGGAAGAAAGTATCCGGATAAGGTTTTTTTTTCACATAATAAAAATTACACATAATTTACAGCCTACGTGTAAATTCTTATGTTTTTAATTTTTGTGTATGATTTTAAAGATTTTTAATTAACATTGCATTGAGAAAACACTAAAAATGGCAATCCTCAATTTTACAAAGTAAACCTTTTAAAAACTTATTGCTTATAATTTAGGTTCTCATGAGTATGAATAATCGAGTAATTTTCATGCTTTTATCATATATAGAAATTTTAAAAAAAACTAATCTCGGAATTAACTGAAGCTGAGCGAGGAAAATTTTTAGGCCTGGTAGTACTCATTCAAATAAATTTTATTGGCATTTATCTTTAATGTTTTTAGAATTAATTAACAACAAAAACCCTTAACTCACTAATTCATAATCGTCAACAATATAGATGATTCTGTTTATTTAAATGTTTTAAGGATTAAATTAATTTTTTTAAAGTGTCATTTAATGAACCAGCAGTCATTAAAAGAAAATTAATACAGAATAACAATAATAAGATTAATTGAAATTAAATTTATAAAAAACATTAGTAAAAATATTGAATAATAATATATTTATATTTATAATATTACAAGGAAAACAAAAACAAAAATTGATATTAAATTGTAATTAAAATAATAATAATAATTAAAAAAATATATTTACATTTTATTAAGTTCTGAAATAAATAAATTTATATTTAAAAGATGCAAAAAAAAGTAATATTTCCCAGCAAGCCCAGGAAATCAAGCCTGTTTAACGCAAATGAGGTAAAAACAGCAACAATCGTTGATATGATGATTATAATTATAGTAGCTATTGCGGTGAAGGAGATGGGAGAGGTGGTATCACTAAATCAGGTTTCTGTGTAATAAGAATGTCTTGATAAATGTGCTGGAAATGTTGGAAAATCTATTGAATTATATAATGATCTGTTATTTAATTCGGATTTAACGGATCTTCTATCAGGCAAGGGAGCAATTAATAGAGAATTCGTGGTCTTGTGACGTTTAAAAGTATGAGCGGCGGTAGTGGTGTCACTCGATTGATTTATTTCAGTTGATAAATGTAATTCGGTTGTTGCTCTTCTTGGTGGTGGTTTCGGAGACATCATTTTCTGCTTTATGAGAAGATCTTCTTTAATACGTTTTTCTAAAACTTCGCTATCCAAAATTTTTTGAATAATGATTGGATTTAAGGCGTCAATCTCTCCCGATTCATCATCACTTAAAGTTTTATTTATTTTCTTTTTTTCTTTTCTACGCCGTTCTTTTTTTAATTCTCGTTCTCCTATTATACTTTTCCTTGCTGTTTGACGACGTAATGATTTCCTCTTATTGTATTTACCACTACTATTATCATTAACAGCGTTACTTTTATCATGACTAATATTAATATTATCATTATCGTTATCATTGGTGTTATTAAGATTTTTACTTGGATAAAATTGTGGATTACCAGTTGTAACATTACCATTAAATGATAAAAACACACTTTGCTCCAATACATTCTGTCTGAATATTTGTGAAGCACGTTGTTGACGTGGTATTATAGCAGATACGCGTTTTTGTTTGCGTTTAGAGTTGGCCCTTGATAATCGTTTAGATGAATTACGGTTTAATATTTTCAATTTAGCGATTCTGGTAACAAGTGGACGAGTTGATCCAACTTTTGTTGTTGTGATTTGTTCATTCTCTTTATCATTATCGTTATTATTGTTGTTGCTAACGTTGTTTTCATCTTGTTGAACAATAGATAGACGTTCTTTATGAATAGACAATGGAACAAGGCTTGCATGAATGAGTTTTGGAGGGATGTTGATTTCTGGTACCCAAGGATAGGATTGATATTTTATAGGTGGTAAGTCTTCATCCATATCGGTAGGGTCGTTTGAGTGAGGAGGATTTGAAGTTGGGGCTTTAACCAATGGCAATCTTGGTCTTGATTTGGTAACTTTTCGATAAACAACATTGTTTGTCCGTTTTGTTTGTCTGGTACGTTTATTTGATTGTGTACGAACAACTTTTATTTCAGAATATTTTTTTTGTGCTTCATCGAAATCTTGAATTAACTCGCTGATCACAATGTCATTATAAATTCTTGATTTTCTTCTATCTTTCATAGTTTGAATTGATAATCTCTTTTTAATATTATTTAATTGTTTCTGCTGCTGCAGCTGTTGTTGTTCATGAAAAGAAGTGTCATCAGTATTGTCAACAATAATACTTTTGCTGTCGTTATTGTTGTTTGTTGTAAAGGTAACTTGCTGTTGTTTAATGTTTTTAGCATTGTTGCCATTATTATTGTCATTTTGTTGTAAAGGCTCATTATTTTTTTGATTTTTCGAAACTTCTACAACTTGTATGGTTGTAACTAAAATGCCTCCAAACGCTGTAGTACCGTTATTTCCTTCCTTTGAATTTAGACTATCCTTTGAGTTATTGTTAGAATTTTGCGATATCGATGATGATTTATCGGAAAAAGAAGAATATTTATCATATTTATCATCATCATATTCTTGAGTTGGTGAATCAGGAGGTGTATAAAATTTTGCATCCTGTGCAGAATTTCTAATTGTTTTTCTTTTATAATCTCTATTTGTGTTATTGCCATCATCGTCATCGTCATCACCATCATTTCCCCAATACAATTCATTATCGACACTCGTTTCATTAATATTGTGTTGTTGTTGTTGTTCGCTTGAAGATATCGTATTGATATTATTATTATTATTATTATTATTATTATTATTATTATTATTATTATTGATATCATTACGATTAATAACAATACTGTCCATACCCAAAGAATTTTGTTTGGTATTTACTGATAATTCATTCATTGTCAATGATTATTTTATATATATGTATGTGTATGTATTATTATTAATTTATAATTTTAAAAAGAAAGTATAAATATACCTTGCGATATATATTTTTTACAGCAGTTGGTGCTGTTTTGGCGTGTTATTATTATTATATGTATTATAATTGCAGCGTTAAAATTTTACCGAATTAATTATTCAAGTAAAATTTTTAAAGTTAGACAATAAAATATTTATCTATTTTTAATCAGAAATTCATAAAAGCTATCTGAAAAAACAAGACGCCAGAAAATAAATAGGTAATAATGAATGGTTGATAAAAAATAAGGGAAGAAAAAAATTTCATAAAATAAAAACAAAATATTGCCTTTACTCACGAAATTTATGTGGAAAAAAATTAAGGGAAATGTGAAAGGTGGGGGGAGGGGAAAGTAAAAAGAATGATATTTTATTATAAAAGAAAATTATAAATGATTAACGTAGCATAAAAAAACATTTACCAACCCGATGACGCGTATTAAGGGAAGAGGAGGAAAGTGAGTGAAAAGAGGAAAATATGAAAAAAAGTAAGAAAAAAATTAAATTTAAAGGTGTTAACTTTATGTATTTACAACATTTACAACAGCAGCATTATTAATTTTATTAATTTAATTTATACTACAAATAAAAATAAAATCTGCAACAAAATTAATAAAAAATAAACAAGAACCATTAGTTTCTATAACAGTGTAACATTTATTTTTTACTTATTACATAAAACTATTCTAAAAACCCTGAATGTAGTGTCATATATCTTATTATTATTTTATGACTTTATTAACATACTAATACTTTATTTTAGCACACCAATAATTTTTTTTTGCAAATGGTATTCTAAGAAATGAGTTAAGAAAAGTAAAATAAAATTATAATTAGTTACCAATTGATTATTCTGCATACCAATATCTGTACTATATGGAGGGAAGGAAGGTTCTGATTGCGGAATATATTTTGTGACCGCGTGTACGACAAAATTTGTTTTACAGTCGGGAAACATGCCAAATTACGTAGTAGTTTTTTTTATTAAATATTAATATACCATACATTTTGCTTATAAACCAATTTCGGTTATAAAAAAGTTGAATATAACAAAATTATGGGTGCCTAAATTCTCTTATTTTGATTTTAGTCATATTAATATATCCTAAATGAATAGTAGTTATATGTAAGAAATATTTGTCGCAAATTGGCACGTTCTAGCAAGACATTTGCAAAAAATTAATAATAATATATGAAGCAGAATCCACAGCTGCCTAAAGGTATAATGTTTGTTTGTATCTATGAAATTTTGCCAAGTTAGGAAAAGACTATAATAATATAAAAAAGTTGTACTTGCTCATTGTTGTCCACAATTGTATAGTCAAATTAGATGGGTTATTTCTGTAGCTGGTTAATATATTAATTGAAATTTGGACTAGGAAAATCAATCTGATTTTTTTTTACTTAATATTAATTAATCTATTATGCAAGGATTACGATTGGAGTCTTGTTTGCATAGTAGAGGACAGGTACTCTAATTTGCCGGATTTTTTATACATTTCTATTTCAGAAAAATTTCCGAAATTTTTACAAGAAAATTTTGTGCATTGGTAATATAGGGTTTCGTATAACCCAACTTTAAAATTGTTACTAAAAATAGATTTGTGAATGCTGATCAAACAATTATTTTATTAATAACTTTGGTTTAAATTTATCAATTCCGCACAGAAGAACAGTATAAGAGCCAATGGGAAATCATAAAAAGATATGAACCAAAGTTCACATGTTCAAAATATTTTTTTGAATTAGTTATTCAGAACTTTGCATCCGGATCCCTGTCTTTTTAATTATTGCAATCCGGGTACCCTTATTACGATTACTATCATTTTCAAAAATCTTATTAGAACATCCCATCCGTTTAAAAATTTTAATCCAAATATTCATTAAATGATATATATATGAATCCAATCGATTAAGATAATGGATCCAAAAATTCAACGTACATTTTTATAATATTGTTATCTTTTAGTATTAATACTAATACAATCTAAATTATCAGATGGACGTTCAAATTTTTCTTATAAAGAATTCGATTAAGGGTAGTGCCGTATTTTAATTATCGAGGTTAGATCTCGGAAAAACTCTATGATTAGAAAATGCTTTATAAAAAACAAAATGAGATTACTTCACCATAATAATAAATTCGTATTGATAGAAAATGAAAAATATCGCCGCCTTTTACTATATTAATATATAAAAAAGGACCGGCAGAATTTTTAGATCATTTATCATATATTTCTATTAAGGCCTATCTTTCTGTATCACAACGGTATTTTTAATGTGAAAATTTGGCAGGAGGAGACATTATAATTCATATTACACCACGAGAAGTAGTTTATTTTTTTGGGGAATACGTTCTTATTCTAATATTAATCCTTGTTTGATTGCAGTAGATGATGAAACATTTTAATTTATAATCATTTCAATCAAGTACACAAAACTATCTTTTAAATATTTTTAATCGATAGATAATTTCATATGTTCTCGGCTATTTTGATTCGCATTATTAATAATTTTAAAAATTGTTCGGAAAATCGATTCGCATAATTATAAAAAACTAAGAATCGCATCAATATGATTTGTCATTTAATTTGGCGGTCACATACAAATAGAGTTTTCCCGGCTTTTCTACCCATGAATGTCCTTGCCACATTTTTCATAATACGTAATAACTTTGCCCAAACACTTGATAATTGACTCCAAGTGAAATAATTTGACCACATTTACAATTAACTTTTTAGCATTGACAAATTCTTGAATGTTAGGGTATGTAGTAAAATGTTTTTGGCGTGAATCACAAGGAATTTTTTTATTATTTTTATTATGACTTTTCATTTTAAATTTTTTATCAGTATTATTATTTATTATTATAGTGTAACCGATAACATTTTTATCTTCGAATAATATAAAAGCAGTAACATTTTCCATTTTCTATCAATACAAATCTATGATGAGGCGGCCACGAATTTTTTTTAAAAGTACTTTCGAATCATAGTGTTGACGGTCACATTCAATAGAGTTTTCCCGGTCCTTATAAAAAAAAGTCATCTGTTACACTAGTTCGCAAATATAGCAATAGTAATAGAGGTCCTCGTGTAACGGACAATAATATATGTTTTTTTATTAAAATTCTTCATTCATAATTTACCAATTTATTCATAATAATAAATCATAAATAAATAAACGTAGAAGAGATATTTATACACACAATATATATATATAATTAATTCTTTTTGTTTGTTTAATAAACCATTTTGTGGTCGGGAATTAAACAGTAGTAGTAGGGTTTAATTGTCCGTTTGGTTATCAGAGTGATATAGGACTCGGTGGTTTTGAGTATTTGCTTTGGTATAAATTTTCGTTTCGCATAAATATTTTGTTTAACTTTTTGTAAACGGGATTAATTGTTTAAGTGTAAACGTAAGGTGATAATACCAATTGGTAAAAGTGAAACAATGTTTCATCACATGAACCCGTCTTCTTCTTCTTACAGAGCTATTGGCATTTTGAGATGGATGTGCGCTCCAATTTACATCTAGTTTGGTAAAATTCCTAGCATATTGCCATCCTTCTGAATCCATGTAAAAACGTGACATATCTATTTGCCATTCATTCACCCAAAACCATTGTTTATTCTGTAATTTTGTATAAGTAATTGTTATTGATGAAGAATTTGGCCCAACTGGTAATTTTATATCTTCTTTATATGAAGTTTCTCCACTAGGATGGAGCAATCAGACAGGGTTCACGCAAATCTGTCTTCAAAAGACTTGCTGCTGAGTATTTTGGTGAACTACGAAGCGCCGACGCCATTTTGAAGCTCTTTGATTTTCGGGAAGAATAATTGGTATTGATATGTGAAAAGTAAAAACATCATATGGTTGATTGATTGATCGGTAGTAAAGATGACCGAATGATGTTTCTATTGTAAATGTATTATTTTCAATAGAAAAAAACAAGAAATCAAATAGTTAATTGAAAATTAGTCCAAGCATTTATCCTCAGCTCTTCACAAATATAAGTCTCATTACTTGTTACTGCTGCATCATAAGCAGTCTCGCCAAATTTATTTTTAATAAGAGGATTGGATTTAGCATGATTTAAAAGATATCAAGATGTTTTTTTGATGCAGCATTCATTAGTAATTTTTTTTAATACAAACCTGCGAATAAAAATATTTTAATCACAATTATATATATGGCAACAAAAATTGATTCATATTCATATTTGTTTAAAAAAAAACATTCACAATATTCATATTATGTATTTCCAACATCTACATCTACGCTACTGGCAGATTCCACCAAATACTTAACTATACACAAATGTCCTTGTGCAGATGCATTATGTAATGATGTCCATCCATCATTATCTTTTTTGTGATAAAAGATACATTTCTTTGTAAGAGATAATTGACAACTTATATATGTCCATTTATATGATGCTTTTAATAATTCAGTCTATAAAATTATATATAACATGTACATGTAAGCATACACATATAAATGAATAAAATAATAAAATAAATGAATAAAATAATAAAATAAATGAAATAAAATGAATAGATAGATTTATTTATTATATATTTATCTTTATATTTTATCTTACCTCACCAATTTGATCTTCTAAATCAACAATTGCACTTGCGCTTTCTACAAACTACCCAACAATATCCAAATGACCACGTGAAGCTGCGTAATGAAGTGTATTAAATCTGAAGAAAGGTATGCAACGTTGGCGCGTGCGGAATCTGTCACTTTTCCACCAGATCCTTTTGGTGCTAAAATCTCTTTAACTTTTGCTAAATAACTCAGGGAAGTTTCCTCATAAATATTCATATGCTCTGAATCCCTGAGGTAGCGATAAGCATTGTTTATGAAGTTTAGATGAAGCTTTATTTATTTGAAATGTATTTTTTCATAGTTTCTCCTGGGAGATGTGATAAATAAATTCTTGGAATTTTTGCTACAGTTGGAGATGAAAAATACCCCGGAAATCACATAGATAGGTTACCCGAAAATTTTCATGAGTCTACTCAAAGGTTTTAATAATGAATTTACTCAGCATTTTGATCTTCTATAATGATTTTACCCAACATTAAAATTTTTTATTTTGAATCTTGCTTACACTACATTGGCTATATTCACAAGTTTAACTTTGGATTAGATTGGATAATCCTAGATCAGGGTTGGGAACTCGTACTCTTACACGTATCGTTGGGGAAATCAAATAATAAAATCAATTATATAGTATCGCATAAATATGTTGATCAAATTTTTATTTAAAAATATTTTTTTGTTTTTAACAATCAATCGGGAAACTTAAAAACGTTTATAACTTTGGAAACAAAATAGCTACAAAGAAAATTGAAAATGATTTTGATTAATAAGAACCTTGAATATAACGTAAAAAAATGCTATTTTTTTTTTGCTTAATATGATTTTTTTCAAATTTATATGTATTAACAGTTATTTAGAATTTATGACAAAACAACATGAAGATACATCAATGTTAATAAATATTTTTAAAATATGGCTCTGTTACATGTAGAGACATATTCTGCAAGCTCAAAACATTTTTCAGAATTAAAAATTCTCACCTGTATGATGAGTTATAACAGTTTCATAGAAAGCGATTTTCTTTAATTTAATAATTTAATTATAAATTGATTTTAACAATCGGAAACTTAAAATGTTTATTATAACTTTGGAAGTAACATAGCTACAAAAAAAAATTGAAAGTGGTTTTAATCTTTAAGAACCTTATCTACAATGTAACAACGCTATTTTTATGGGTTTTTTGGTTTTTTAAATTTTGCAATAATAAACATCTAGAATTTATGGCGTTCGAATTGTCTAGTGCCTGAATCTGAAACACACATAGACAGTCAATATTGGTATGTGGAGTTGTGTTAACTTGATATTCTTTTCGATTTTTGATTTTGAAGTTAACTACATGACACATGGACTAGTTAATATTGGTAAATACATAGAACAACCTTTACATAGTACATACAGTCAACCCACCATAAATACACCCCCCTTGGGAATGGTCAAGAGCGTGCATTTATGGAGGGATGCATTTAGGGAGGGTAAGAATATTATGGCTACACGTGACATTCGGGATATTGTGTTAAAAAAATTATTTATTTATTATTATTATTATTATTATATTATAAAAATTGATCCATTGTAGTTTGTTTCATTGAATTTATTTTTTTAAATTAATATATCAATCAAGAGAATTAACTTGTTTTAATTGTTCTTTAGTATTTCCTTGTTATAGTAAAAAGGCATAGACAATTTCCAAACTTTTGGAAGCTTCATCAGCACTCATTATTACCAGTTCAATGCTATCATCACCTTCATTATTGTAATAATAATGTTAGAAGATTTTTTATTTATTAAAACTTGTGTAAATGGATTTGTTTTTAAAATTCTTCATTCTTGTCTTGCTTTCTTATGTATAATAATTTCGCCTATAAAATTTTCACCATCTGGATTCTTATTCTGTCAATTAAAAAAGAAAGAATTAGTAAACATTCATTTAATTCTTTATTTAAAAAAAAATCTTTATCCTCTGTTTAATTCTTAACAATTTTGCCTATAAGTTTCACTATCTGGTAACCCTTTGTCAATTAAAAAAGAAAGAATTAGTATACATTCATTTAATTCTCTATAATTTAATTGACTCTTTATTAAAAAAAAGCATATAACTCTTTATTCTCTGTGTGATTCTTAACGATTCTGCCTATAAGTTTTATTATCTGCATAATAACTCTTTGTTGATTAAAAAGAAAAGAATTAGTAAATTACGCATATAGATGAAAAATTAATTAATGTAACACGATAAATTTTGTTTCTTGTTACACATTGATCACATGAAAGTCACGGACGTGCATTTAGAGAGGGTGGTTTTATATAAATGGGATTGGTAAAAGATCGTGCAGTGCATTTACGGAGGGATGCATTTATCTCTTAAGTCCCAAGGTTGGGAATGAGACATAGCATGCACTTATGGAGAGTTGACTGTAGGTTAGTGTTGGTTTCCAAAACTCGAGAGTTTCGCAATCGTGCGAAAGTCAAAAGGTTTCGCCATAAGTCGAAACTAGTTTTGATTTTTGACTATTGACTTTTGATTTAGTTTTGACATATAACTTTTAATTTTAGTTTTGACTTTCACCTCTTCAAAATAGTTTTGGCGACCAACACTACTGTAGGTACAGGTTTTAATAATGATAAAAATCCTTTTATTGTTAAATCGGTTGGGAGAGATTCAGTATGATATAGCTTTTGCAAAACGTATTCTAAATCCTTTTTGGGGTGTGAAGGAAGCATGTTAGATTTGGTATTGTATAAGCGCAATAAAATGGTTGTATACCATACCATACGTTCTGCAAGTGTTATATCATATACTCTTGTTGAATTAATAGCATCACAGTAAATCACTAGAGTTTGGTGATGATAAGAATTTTTTTTTTTTTAATGTTGGAACAATTCTTTAAATAGTGCAATTCTTATTTTTCTATTTTCAAGATTTATATTAAATTACAGGATTTATTTACCTGATAGAGAAAAATTTAAAGGGTATCAAATAAATTATTTAACTGCTTAAAAAGAGTACGTCTAATATTACGAGGGAATTATTTGTTACATGCTATTAATATTGTCATGGACACCAAAAGAGGTGTTTTCAAATATACCAATACGCTAAATCAAAAATAAAAAATAAAATAAAATAAATAATAAATAAACAAATTAGTGTTGTACTCAAAAAAAAAACCCCCCCGTTTTCTCTACTCCAAGTCAAATTTTAAATCTTATAAAACATTTATAATGTCACGTACCAACTTCTTAACACCAGAAAGAGAGGAATTTGTATCTAGAATTTATAATGAAATGTGTAATGATGCAATGGTTAATTCTTTCATCATAAAAAAAAGAAAGATTATTTTTTTCTTATTAGTCAAAAAAAACAAGGAGCTTTCTGAAAATGAAAATGAATTTAGTAAAGGTTTATTTATAAGTTTGAATTAAGAAATGCAAAAGATAAAAGGATAAAACCAAAAGAATATAACAATCGTAAATCAATAAGATACTCTGATAGATTCTGTGAAGGTTGCATAAGCTTACAACTACAGAATCCTTTTACCATTTGGGCATTTGGAAATAACATAGTTGATGATTTTATTCAACAATGTCAAATGAAATCATTTTTGTCAGAACATATTTTAGGATGGGTACCTTATGAGCAACTTTATCATATAGCAAAGTTAACTGAAGGTGGATTCAGTTCAATTTATACTGCTATATGGATAAGAGGAAGAATAATTGATTATGATGAAAATAAAAAGGAATTTAGTTATTTTGGAGAGCAAGAAGTAGCATTGAAAAGTTTAAATGATTCAAGTAATTTAAAAAAAGGCTTTTTTGATGAGATTGGTAGTTGTCATTTAAAACAATACTGCATTATACAATACTAATTTATTTTATTTATTTTCAGGCAATTAATTATTTTAAAATTAAATCAGGGATGATTGTTTCTTACTATAGTATAACTAAATTCCCAAATAATGGAAACCATGCAATTGTTTTAAATTATTTATCAGAGGGAAATTTAAGGGATTATTTACAAAAAAAACCATTTAAATTTAACATTAAAAGACAGAATTACAATCTTTTATTATTTATGTAATGCATTACTTGTTATACATGAAAAAGATTTAATCCATTGTGATTTACATAGTGGTAATCTATTAATAGATAGAGGTAATTGTCATATACAGATTTAGGATTATGTGGACCAGTTGATGGAAAATCATCAAATAAAGTCTATGGGATTGTATTGTATATTGCACCTGAGCTACTTAGAGGCAAAAAGAACACAAAAGAATCTGATATTTATAGTGTTGGATGTTAATATGGGAAATATTTGCAGGTCATCCACCATTTAACAATAGAGCTCATAATCATTGTTTAATTTTTGATATATGTGATTAGTAACCATCAAGACTGTAATTTGAGAAAAACAACCTCATGCCATTAATTTACAACTACAAATAATAGTATCAGATAACATTGCACATAATACAACATGAAATAATAAATATATTGTATTGTATAACTAAATGAATATATATAATAATAAATAAAATAAAAATTACATGAAATATTTTTAAATATTTAAAAATCCTAAATCTTGATAAAGTCTTTAAATTTTTAAATGATGTTATTAATGAATTGTCTGAGTTTTTTCTTTTACTAGTAGATTCATAAAAGGTTATTGATTGTGAATGTGTTAATATTGCTTCTTTCAATTTAACTGGTATAATATTTTCACCTGATAAAATTCTACATGTTTCAATTACTAAATATTTAATTTGCTTTTGTGCCTTAATTAGCTGTGCTAAACTATGAGCATCTTTATTTTTATTATTACCATAAGATATTTTTAATGATTGAATATTTTTACAAATCTTTGTTAATTCATCAAACAACTCACCACTGAAAACAAAATTATCACATTGTAATTCATAAAGATCCTGAAAGATATTATCAAATATATGATGATTAATTAACAAATTATGAGGTATATATCCGGGACTAAACTCTCTAATACCTGCTGAATGATCTAAAATAAATTTTACTAATCTATTTTGTAAAATTTCTACACAGTTTGGTACATAAATGGTTTTTATTAGCCATCCAAATTTAATAATATAATAATTGAAAGAAACAAGTCTAGTACAAAATCTAGTGTAATTATATAATGGTGGTTTCTCCAATAATTCAAAATTTAATTCAATGTCATTTATAGTCAAGAAATCCTTATCTTCTTC